TTTTGGCATCAGTGAAAGAATGACTCTGTATGAGTTCGCAGGGAGAGGATCTCTGTGCTTTGAGTTTTAGTTTAATGAATAAATAAGCATTTTCTTATCTATAAAATGCAGACTGTAATAATACCTGCACGAAAGAATGTTTAAGGTTTACAATGAGATAGTGCATATGCTTAACCCTGCGCCACATACAAAGGTGAGTATTGGATGAATGTCTGTGGCCACTGCCGTGGCTCTGCCATTTGGTTTTGCCTCTGCATCAGGGTTCGGGCTGGACAGTGGGAGAGACCACCAGGTGCAGCAATAACAAAACGGTCTCCAGACCCCAGGAGCTCAGCCAAAAGAGAAACCATTTGCATTTAGACAGCTTAGCTCAGTCCCCCCCAAAATGTTCTCTTATACATTACCTCACTCAACTTTCTCAGTTTTGCCAGGTATGTGTCATTTTCTTAGTCTCCAAGAGACTAGGAGATTTCAAATGATTTGCCCAGGTCCACACCCAACTCGGAGCGTGTACTTTTAAGTGAACATGACACAGAGTCGTGTATATCACAGCAAAATGCACTCACTGTAAATAATCCTGACCAAATTACTGAAATCAGGGCTATGGGACAGGAAGACCAATGAAATCAAGAGTAAACTTCTCAAAATGTGTTACTCACACCATACATTTGACTTAAGGGTTCAGAAAATAAATCACTGTAAACATAATATGATAATAAGTCAGCAAGAATGCTTCTTACAACTGAGCTTGTGTTCATGTTGTCATATTGGAAGAGCCGTATGCTAGCCTGCCCCCCATGAGTGTGTGTGTGTGTGTGTGTGTGTGTCTAAGTGGGGTGGAGGATAGTAGACAGATACCCCGAATGAATAGTTAACCAGTAAAATGAGCTCTGTGTTGTAGTGTATCTACTATAAAAGTGAGCACTTAATTAATTCAAGAGCATACCTGCCATTTAAATTACGATTTTGTCAATAAGTTTTAGTGCCTATAAGAGGTGCTGAAGCGGAATTATGTTTCACCTTTCCTGGCATATTAACAAAAAGAACGAACTCCGCAGACACTGCCTGTATCCATCCACCTCCGTATGACACCTGGCTACCGAAAGCTGGGATTCTAAGTAAATCCTGTGGTTTGTCCCTCATATTTCACAGTTTTTGTTGCTCTTGTGTATGAGATCTATTTTTCTATTTAATGGTTAACTGGTTATTAATGGTTAACTGGTTATTGCTATAGCGCTATATTTTCATGGCTCATTTCAGCAATCCAATATTTGATCTTCTCCTAAAGATCACTCTACAGCCCTGGCCGGTTTGGCTCAGCGGTCAGAGTGTCGGCCTGCAGTCCAGAGAGACCCAGGTTTGGTTCCCGCTAAGGACGCGTATCTCCGTTAGTTTGTCCCCGGCCCCTGGTTGGGTTGTGCGGGTTGCAGCCACTCGATGTGTCCCTTTCACATCGATGCTTCTCTCTCTCTCTGTCTCCCTCACTCCTGTCTTTGGGTGAGGATAAAAAAATAAAATAAAAAAAAAGATCGCTCTACTGCTAGATCCCCTAGAGGACGGAAGGTGACCATGATGGTAAGAGAGGAGGTGGTGTGGGATAGAGGTATCTGGGTCCTTCTGTGGGCACCGAAGGAGCTCTGGGGGAGCTCTGGGAGTGCAGCCTGACCACCACGGGGACCAGGAGGTGGTGGCAGTGAGGTCTCACTACAGACCCCCTACCCAGTACTCACGCATAGAGAGTGGTTGGCCATTCCTGGTTGTGTGGCTTCAGGCTCCAGTTCTCTTGCCCTCCCATGAATTCTGTGAACTGGCTGATATGCTTTTTTCTTCTTTAAACCAATGCTAGTCTCTTACCTATCTGTGTAGATTGTTCTGTGGCAGTTAAAAAGAATTGAATAGGTTATAAACACAGACCTGCAATGTCCAAAACGTTATGTGATAAAAACAAAATGCAGCATCACCAAATAAAACAGCACATTTCTGCATGTATGGATGTATCTGTAAGTGAGTAGATAACTTTTGCGAGACTACAAACCCAAGTGATGATGGCAGCAGCCTGGGGAGGGCAGGGATCAAGGCAGGGAGTGGGGGAAATGCATGTAGACTTGTCCCTTTGACTCTCTGTACTTTTTTTCTTGAATTTTTACAAGAAGAATGCTTCCAAATATTGCTTAGGTACTCAACAGAGAAAAACAAAACAAACAGAAAGAAGAAAATTGGTGGGTCAGAGTGTAGCACATAGACAACAGGCGTCTCCAGCTCCTTGCAAGCTTGATTCCACTGAGCTAAGAGTATAAACAGGGTCCCACATACTAAATGCAGTGGAAACGAAGGTGAATAAGGGAGGGGCCCTCTGCTCTCAGCAGGCTGGACAAGCAGACGCTCAAATGATAAATACTATACAACATGGTAAGTGGAAGGACAGCAATACAAAGATTTGTGGGGAGCCTCAGGGAGGCTCCTCCTAACCCACCCCAGGAAGCAGGAAGGGTCACAACAAAGATGTCCTTGAGAAGGTGACATGACTCTCCAAGTCTTGAAGAGTAAGAGAAAAGAAGGGAAGGGAGGATTAAGAGTGTATGTGGGGCCCTGGTCGGTTTGGCTCAACGGTTAGAGCGTCGGCCCGTGGACCAGAGAGACCCGGGTTTGATTCCCGCTAAGGGCACGTTCCTTGGTTGCAGTTTTTCCCCGGCCCCTGTTGGGGTCGTGTGGGTGGCAACCACTTGATGTGTCTCTCTCATGTCGATGTTTCTCTCTCTCTCTCTTCCTTCCTCTCTCCTCCCACTCTATCTGAGGATAAATGCAAAAATGTCCTTGAGGGAGGATTAAAAAAAAAAGAGTGTATGTGGGGTGTCCTATGAAGTGTGAGCAGGATTAATTTCCCCTCTTCCTCACCACGTGGACAGGGCAGTGCAAAGCAGGCAGTGTGCAGGGAACAGAGTGGCTGGAGGCTCAACCAGAGCATTCAGTCTGCGCCTGAGCAGTCCCAGGGAGGCAGGCAGGTCCCAAGGCCGACTCAGGGACGGCTATCTCCAGCACTGGGAGGGATGCAGAAACTGAGAGCCTTCCTGGGGCAGCATTGTCATCACTACCACCAACATCTTTTTCATTGAGTGTGTGGGCATTTAAGAGGAGTTTACTGTATTATAAACTATTGAGGCCTTTGTACAAAGATCACAGGCTCAGGTTGCGTAACTGGCGGGTAAGCCAGCCAATGCTTGTCTTCCCACCCTGCTCCCTAAATGTGTGGCCTTGTCCAATCTTGTTGTTGTTGTTGTTTTCTACCTGATTTCTTACTCCCTTCCCTCACGGCTCCTACTTGGTGTCTTCACAGTGCCGTTCAGTGGTCAAGGCTTCCAAAGCCTGCCCCTAACCAGTTATTCCCACATTCTATTAGAACATCCCGACTTTTCCTTTGTTTCAGACGCCAATCTTTGGTACGACTAGTCTGACTTGCCTCTGTCTTGCTCAGGCTTGGGGCCAAGCTGATAAAGTCAACCTACTGATGTGGTGATGGAGGATGATGGCGTGGCGAGTTACTCCATCCAGGCAATCTCTTAGCCCAAAGAAGGACACCAACATATGGGAAATGTAATCACAGTACGCCCGCCCCTGCCATCCTGGTCAGAACTGATCACATGGGCTATGCACCTGCTATTGTAGGCCATCCTCTGGTCCAATCCAGCTGTGTGCCTGTGTCTACTTCCATTCGAGTGTGGGCTCAGAAGTGGCCTGAAGTAGTAGAGCTCAACTTGAACTACCTCATTCAACAAAGTTTGTCGAACTCCAGTTGTGAGCAGAGTACAGCCAGTTCTGGAGACCTGCTCTGAAGGAGCCGGTCCACTGTGTGCAAAACCAGCTCTGCTTCCTGCTTTTGAAGGATTTCCATCCAATGGGAGAGAAGAGATGGTCCAGACAAATATAAACCCACTGCAAACCCAGAGATATTTAAATAGCAGTGCTTCCCATACCGCAGCAACAGTTCAGCGGAGTGAAGTACACGGCAGGTTCCAGGTCCCTGGTATCGGAAGAACCGTCTAATATTCAAATAGAAAGGTGTTTTTTACTGTCAGGTTTTTTTTTTATGAAGCATTTTGAATAGTAAAGACACTAGTATAGAAAATATCTTTATTGGCACCACCTAGATTCAGTGATTGTTAAACATGTTGGCATATGTACTTCATTTCTGTTTTTAAAATAAGGAAACAAAGACGGCAGGTGGAATTATAGGCTCCTTTAAGCCTCTTGCTGGTTCTGTTCCCCTGCCCCTTCAAAGCTGTGTCTCCTTCCCACTTATATTTTGTAATTTTTTTGCTCCATTATCGTGTTCCAAAATATACATATATAGTATTGGTGATACGTTTTTAGAATTTATATAAATGCCTTCATACTGTGGCTATTTTTTTAAAGTGAGTCTTTTTTTAGTAAGCATTTTAACTGCTTCATGGTATTCACTTGTTGAAAAGATCTCCATTGACTTCTCCATTCCCTCATCACCAGACGTCGGGCTTGGTTCTGACTTCCTCTCTGTCTCCTCGAGCGGAACTGCTGGCACGCAGGGCACAGGCGTCTTCAATGGAAAGGGCTGGCGAATGATATTTTTCTTACAAACCACTTTCTGTTCATTATAACTACGTATTTAGAGTCTTCTTCTTATCCTTATTATTTTAAAAGATTCCACCAAGACATCATACATCAACAACGAAAAGCAAATTTGCATCATATAGTCAAGCACCACATCAAGGTATTTCCCAGTTACCTTCATTCCTTTGCAATGACAAGCCTGGCTCTGTCTGTCTGGAATCTATCAGCATCTTCACTGGGGCCTTGTATGTATCTGCTCGAAATTGCATTGTAAAGAGTACAAGGGATCTGTCTGGTAAGAAATATAAGGGATTTTCAGAAAGGGATTCTCTGGTGGTATCATGACTAGTCTCCCATATTAAGAAAGTGCATTGACAAAAATGTGTCTCTGATTTATGTTTCTTTTCTTTTTATTTTTAAATATGGAATGCTTCACGAATTTGCGTGCCATCCTTGCACAGGGGCCCTGCTAATCTGCTCTGTGTTGTTCCACTTTTAGTATATGTGCTGCCAAAGCAAACACTGATTTATGTTTCTTAACATAAATTTTAGAATTCAGAAATTATATATACCAAAGCACACTTGGGGGCAAAGCTACACCACTGCCCCCAAATGGTATCATTGCCCAAAAACAATTCTTCCAAACCACTCCATTTTTGCAATAACAATCTACTTTATAGTTATTTGACATCTAAAATAAAAATGAGCCCAGCCCATGTGGCTCAGTGGTTGAGTGTTGACCCATGCACCAAGAGGTCACCAGTTCAACTCCCAGTCAGGGCACATGCCCAGGTGGTAGGCCAAATCCCCAGTGGGGAACGTGCGGGAGGTGGCCAATCGATGTTCTCTCTCATCAATGTTTGTCCCTCTCTCTCCCTCTCTCTTCCTCTCCCTCTAAAATCAATAAAGAAAAAAAATGATGAAGCACTTCTTAGGGGTTAGGAATTGTTTTAGGTTCTTCAAATTTATTAAATCTCTCTATCTTTACTATAGCATTTAGATATTACTTATAGCCTTTTTACAGAGAGGGAGGATGTAGATGCTGGGCTGAGGTAAGTAACCTGCCCAAGACGGCACAGCCATGATGTGGCAGAGGCGGGATTTCAAAGCGTCTCCCGGCTCCAGAACCCACAAGGTCACAGGAAGAGAGAAGACACAGATCTCCACCTTCAAAAAAAGTACATGAAACCCTTCCTGCCAAAAATGAAAACTTGAATCTAATTGAGAGAAAACAAATGGAGGGACATCTTTAAAACAATGGAAATATATTCTTCAACTATATCAATGTCATGAAAAACAAATGCTGAGGAAATATTCCAGATAAAAGGAGGCTAAAGAGACATGAGGACTAAATTCAACATGTTAAACTGCCCTAGGAGTGGGTGGGTGGGGGGAAATGCTACGAAAAATGTTACGGGGGAGCCCTGGCCAGTTTGGCTCAGCAGTTGGAGCGTCAGCCTGCGGACCAAAGAGTCACAGGTTCAATTCTGGTCAAGGGCATGTACCTCATTTGCGGTTCAGCCCCAGCCCTAGTCAGGTCGTGCAGGAGGCAACCAGTCTACATGTCCTCTCACGTCGATGTTTCTCCCTCTCTCCCTCTCTCTCCCTCCCTCCCACTCTATCTAAAGATAAATAGCAAAATATCCTTGGGTGAGGATTTAAAAAAAAGTTACGGGGTAAAATTATTACTGGGACACTGGTGAATTAAGCACAGAAACTATTTTAGATAATAGTATTATATCAAAATTAAATTTCCTGAATGAATCATAGTCATTGATTATGAAGGACATATTCAAGCTCTTAGGAGTAACATTTCTTTCATTATTAGTAATATTGATTACACCCTGGCCGGTTTTGCTCAGCAATTAGAGCATCGGCCTACGGTCAGGAGAGACCCAGGTTCGGTTCCCGCTAAGGGCACGTACCTTGGTAGCAGTTTGTCCCCGGCCCTGGTTGGGTCATGCGGGTGGCAGGCACTCAATGTGACCCTTTCACGTTGATGTTTTTCTCTCTCTCTCTCTCTCCCTCCCACTCTATCTGAACAAAAAATGAAAAAAATGTCCTCTGGTGAGGATAAAAAATAAATAAATAAATAAATAAATAAATAAACAAACGAACAAATAAATAAATAAAATTGATTACTTCTTACATACCCATGGATTCCTTGTAATTCTTTTATGAATATCTTATTGTTATCTTTTGGCAATTTAAAAGTGAGGGTATGGTATGACTAGATTGACTTTAATTTTTTTAATGGAATTTATTGCGTGTACATTAAGTGGATCATGGAATCAAGGAAAGAACTGGGACAACCAAGCTGGAGGAAAAAGGAACCAGCCTTTGACAATACCGTGCTTAAGGAGTTGGTGAGTTTCTTCAGTGTGAACACCTGCTCCCTTGGTCATTACCCTGCTCTATAAGGTCTGCGCCTACATTCACCTCATTAAGTGCCAATTACACTCTTCGTTCTCAAACGTGGCCTTTGTGCCTAAATTCAAACCGTCTAGTTATATTAAAAATACATTAGCTTGCTTTTCATTTAAAGCCTACAGCCTCTGACTATTTAGAGGTGAAAGTGAGAAAATTCCATTACAGAATTTCAAGTTAAATTACTGTGGTAGGAGGTGGGGGGGGGGGGGGGGCTGCAGGTCCTGTAAATACAATCTTCTGAGACTCAGCTGGAGGAGGACTTCTCCATGAGCCCCTCCCAGATGCTTAGACGCCTCTAAGGCTCCTCGGTGACAATCCAGTAGCATTCCTTGGCGCTTGCAACATTCGGTTGTCTTGTCAGGGACTGTCATAGGTGTCTGTCTCCCTCATGAGTAATATGTGTCTCAAGGAAAAACACTGGGACTTATTTCCTTTGACCTCCAGTGTCTAATTTAGTGCCTGGCATACAGAAGGCATTCCATAAATAGTTAATGAATTCATCCAAATTTCTTTTAAAAGAAAACGAAAAAAGCATGTCACTGTGCATACCTATGGGGCTCTGTACCTGTAGCTGAAACTCAGGCTCCGAGGACTCCAATGCCACCTGCTCAGCCTCTTATTTTAGGTAGAATTCTATTAAGCTCATCTAGTTTCCTGCCTACTAAGAACAAAACATTGGAACAAAAAAAGAGGGAATGTAGACTGCTTCTAAAAGAGGACACTGATAGCAGCCGTAAGTGACAGTCTCCCAGAGATGAGGGAAAGAATACAGGGAAAAGGGTGAGTCTGGAGAGAGCTACTGTAACTGATGTCTCTAAAGGACAATGCAGATTCACCAAAAAATTAGTAGATTGTACTCCACACACTCTGGTTACACAGGCAGAGAAATATATCATGTTTTTAAAAGTTAAAAAAAAAAATGTAACATTAATTTTTTTTTTGGACATGTCATCCTTGTCCAAAGTTTAATAGATGGGGAACGGCTATATGTGTTTTTAATTCATTGTTGTTTTTCCTGAACTCTCCTATGGTCCCTGCTTTTAATTTTAAAGCAGATGAATGAAAACATCTTGTATTTCTCCCTTCCAAAAAGATCCCACCAAAAATGGATTACTTGTGTGGCTGCCGGCCAGGTTGTGTCAGAAATAAAACATGACTTTCCCCAGCCATCTCTGCAGCCTCGCGGAGCAGGGCCCTCCCCTCCTCCCACACACCCAGCGTGTACACTGCGCGCAGCCTGCGTGGCAGAGGCCAGTCGGTGGGAACGCAGGGCTTTCTCCCCTTCGGTCCTCCTCCGTACCGATGGCTCCCAGCTCCCGGCCTCCTGCAGGGCGACACTCTGGGTACAAGCAGCCTTTGTCGGCCTCCACCTTCACAGGAAGTAAACGCCCGGAGGCACTGGGGTAGCGCGCACAGAAGCAGCGGCGGCCAAGGAGCAGCCTCGAGGCCGCGGTGGGAGGCCCTGCCCGCCTTTCCTGCCTGCGCACCGGGCGGGCCTGCGCTTCTCCACCTCTCGGAGCTCAAACAGCTGCGCTGCCGCCCAGTTCCCACTCCTTCGGCCAGAGGCCTCACACAGGGTTTCTGCCTCCGGTGTCCGAGCCGCAGCCTTCAAGGATCAGACGCTGCTGACCCCAGCCCAGCCACTCCTGCCGGCTGGTGCACTGCCTCCCCTCGGCTCCTAGAGCCCCACCAGGATATTGGGGGTTGCCAGGCTCCTCGAGGTCCACCCAGATTCTCAGTGCCTGGCCCTACTCTGAGGACTCCAGCCTCATCCTTCCCGTTAAACCTCTGTCCTCTCCCGAGCCCTGTGCAGTGTGGGGAGGGAAGTGAGCGCTGCTGCTCAGGCCGTGGGCTCAGGCTGCGTCAATGAAGACCATGCGGAGGAGAACAGGACAGAAAATCAGTGTGCCCCTGGGGGAGACGCCCCCCAAAGTCCAAGCAGCCCCCAAAGTCCAAGCAGCCCCCGAAGTCCAAGCAGCCCTTTGGAATTAGAAACACAGTAGTGGCCTGTTCATGAACTTCTCTGATGTTTTTGAGGACAAAGAACTATGTGAATACTTATATTCTAACACTTGTCCTTTAATAACTCTTTTTAAAAATTGGCAATTGGTGTGGCTCAGTGGTTGAGCATCAGCCCATGCACCAAGAGGTTGCTGGTTTGATTCCCGGTCAGGGCACATGCCCAGCGGGAGGCAGCCAGGCGATGTTCTCTCTCATTGATGTTTCTATTATCTCTATTCTTCTCCCTTCCTCTCTCTCTAAAAATCAATCAATAAAAAATAAAATAAAATGAAGACTTGACACCACTTAAACATGTCACAAATCTCTATACAGTTTTAGACATCTAGGACACTTAATATAACTTTTCATATTGCTTAACTCAGTGACCGAAGAGGTTCAGAGATTAGAACAGATCTTTGGAAAATATGTTCACCAAAGGTCCAGCATCTGTTTAACTGGAAAAAAGTTCATAAAAAAGGCAGAATGACAGATATTAGATATGAGGAGAGGAAAGAAATGGGATATGATGTTTGCTGATGCTAAAATTTGAATTGGCAAAAATATTGCCCAATGCCTACTCATTTCTTACCTCCCTGGCCAGTGCTGCCACATGGAGCCTCTTCCACATCAGTTAGTCATCAGGCCGGTGTGGGGGTGCTGTATAGGTGGCTCATGGTGCAGGCCTCTAACACATGGGCCAGTCTCGGGGATGCTGGGTGAGCATAAGCAGCCATCAAGAGCCCTGTGTGTACTCTGACACCCAAACCCACCTGAGCGAAATGGTGACAGGGACACTGCTGTGTGGGCCAGAACACCAGGCTTAACATTCGGATAAACAAGAGACCAAGACTGCCCCAATCCCCAGGGCCAGGAGGCAACCAGGAGAACGAGGATTCTCTTAAGGTAGTCACAGACTCTCAGTAGAGGAGTGCTCTTATTTTTATTTTTTCAACATTTCTATTGATTTTTAGAGAGAGAGGAAGAGAGACAGAGAGAGGGAGAAAGACATCAATGTGAGAGCAAACCATCAGTCAGCTGCCTCCAGCACAGCCCCTACCAGGGATCAAGCCCAAAACCCAGGCATGTGCCCTG